AAAAAAAAAAAGACCAGCCTGGACTACAAAGTGAGTTTAAGGCCAGCCTGAACTATATAGGGAGAAAAAAAAATAAGACGCTCAAATTTGGGCAGGCATGGTGGCACACACTTGTAATCTGAGCTCTAGAGAGTGAGGTTGGTCCTCCTCACAAGTTCAATCCTTTCGGGGGTAATTTAGCCACTTAATGAGACTCTCAAAATTTTAAAAAGAGGGTTGGGCGAGACTGGATCTCAGTGCAACAGGTTCAATCCATACTCTTTTCCCCCACCAAAAAATATATCCCAATGCAAATCACTAGGAAAATTCAAAGTAAAATCACATAGATACATTACTGCAACTGTCTCTACCAGAAGGGCAGCAATTTTTTAAAGTAACAAGCATCAGCAAGGTCATGGAGTAACTAGAATATCGTTCTCTACTAACTGGTGCAACCACTTTCAGAAAATATTGAACAGATTCAGAAGTTTCAACATTCGCATACCTCAAAACACAACTCCACTCCGATGTAACCCAACATAATGTTCTATTTCTTGTGTGATAGTCCACTTAGTAGAAATTTATTACCTGTTGTAAACTTTTTTGTATACTGAGCGTCAACAAATGTTCTAAAATTTTTTGACAAAGCTCAAGAGCTCTTTAGGCTACCATTTTAGAACAGAAAACCAAAGTTTTTAATATACAGATAAAATTTTCCCACTAAAATTAAAAAAGAAAAGAAAAAGTATTAACACATAGTTCAAAACAAAGATAAAAACTACCAACACATATCATTTTTCTCTAACTTCATGAAGCATTAGAAGTCATTCTTTCAGCAGAGAAAGTTTATTATTCTACACTGTAACCCAAAGAAAAGATTTTTTTGCCAAAAAAACACTGCTGATTTTCAAAATCACCTCTATCAGACAGGAGGAAAACAGGGGAACCATTCCAAAAGTTTTGGTTAACTCTTCAGGGAAAGAATGCCAACAACGGAGATAATCAGTCACCCAAAAGAAAGACACAGAGAAATCACGGCAACTCTAAAGGAGACAAGAATACCACACAACGACCTACAGGAAACCCTGTGGTTAGTTTGAGGCTTGCCCGCTAGTCATAAAGTGATTCAGTGCTGGCTACTAACGCTCCTCAAGCGCATCCTTAGGCATCACCTGGCATACCTGGATTGCCATCATCTGCCTGGAGCCACTGCCATGCGCAGAATCGGAGACCAAATAAAGAGGCCAACTTTGCAAGAAAGGGGCGCGGGAGATCTCGCCCCTCCGGTTATAGAAAAGGAATCGACTTCGGGTCTCCGGGGCAGAGGATGGGGAGTCGTCAGGGGGCGCCACGGGGTCTACGAGAAAGTGCCCCGAAGCCGCTCTGCCCCGCCACCTCCGCGGCACGCCCCGGGAAGCCCGGCCAGCGTTTCCCCCGCGCCCAGGGGAGGAGGGTCGCGGGGGAGGCGGGGGCGAGGCGGCCAGTGCGGGGGACGTAGGCCCCGGTGGGGCCGGGCGCGCGGCAACTTCGGCGACGCCCCGTCCGCTGCGCCTCGGCCCGGCCGTGCACCCCACAGAACCGCGACCCTCGTTCTGCCCGCTCGGCCTGGCGCGACGCCCCTCACCTTGGAAACGTTGGGCGGACTCCGCCGCCAACACTAACGTCCCATCCAGTCGCCACCGCGCCGCGCGCCCCAGCGCCTGGGCCCCGCTCCCGGCCGCGCCGGCCGCCTTCCCTGAGTGCCAGCGCACAGCGCTCGCTCAGGCGCTCAGGGCCGCCTCGCGACCCCCAGCCCGCTCCTCTGGGCACCGCCGCAGTCCCACCGCCGCCCAGCCCGGCTGCTGCCGTCCGTCCGCCTGCGGCTTCTCCGGCGTCCGGCCCGGCCGCGTCAGGGGAACCCAGGGCGCAGGCGCAGCAGGGCCTTAAAGAGACCCAGCCGCCTCTACCGCATAATGGGTTCGAGCAGGTTAGGGGCCGGGCGCGCTGGCCGAGAAAGCAGAAGTCGAAGGGATTGGACCGAGCGGAGCGGAGGCGGGGAGATGCCTGCCTCTCCTCCGCCCCACTTTCAAAGCGCTGCCCCCAACCCCCCGCGCGAACTGCTGACTCCCCAGTCCCTGGGCTCGCCCCTTCCCTGTGGAGCCTGCGAAGACGCGGCCCCGCGGCGCGCCCGGGCGACCCCGCGCCGGGCTGTGGGCCGCACCGCCCGCGCGCGCAGGCTTCCGAAGGCCGCCCGGAGCTTGCCTTAGGTCACCCTCAAACGCATTAATCATTGTGTAAGTGGTGCTTGTGACTGGAAAACACTTTCTTCAGACATCTGGACGGAGTGAGTCAATGTGGACTCCAGCAAGGGGCAGCCCTGGAGGCCGGTCTGGGAGGGCCGGCCAGGCAGCCGTCCAACATCAACGAAGGAATTCTTAGAAGGAAAAGACCTTACTTCGAGAGAGAAACCACTTATTAATTCTTGTCTACCCCGGAAAAGCAGACAAAATATTAAAGACAATATAAGTTATTTTGGTTGCATATTTAGAAGTGGCAAAATGATAGTAATTATCTCGCATATACTACATGAAACTCCGAAATTATGAGACATACCTGGTTATTTTCTAATTTAAGTTTATAAGAATCTTAAGAAGGAGTTCCACTGTAGTAAGCATTTCAAAAAAATATTTTTTCAGCAGGATCAGAAATAACAAAAAAAAAAAAAAAAAAAAAAAAAAAAAAAATAGGAAGTAAAACCATGTCCTCCACCCAGATAAAAACTGAAAATTTCAAGTTAATCTGAGGCAAATTTTTGCATAACTTTAGATCATGCCATTATTTAAAGTCAATTTCAATGCACAATTTCATTGTAGCTTATCTTACATGAGAAAACAGACATTCTGATAATCTACGGCTCCTTCCTATAGTCAATCTATCAAATTCCATTGATTTTTGCCTACCAATTTTTTCACAAATCTGTCCTCTTCTGGTTCCCACATCACCACCTTTATATAACATCTTCACTTGAAAGGTGGGCATAGAACCACTGGCCTAATGTTACTTTATCCATATCCCCCTCCACCAGCCCCTCTAAGTCTTTTACATTGTTGTTTTGTTTTGTTTTTTGTTTTGTTTTGTTTTGAGACAGGCTCTCACTTTGTAGCAAAAGCTGGCCTTGTACCCACTGTGTAGCTGTGGTCCTCACAACCATGCACCCCTACTTTAGGCTCTAAATCTTCACATCATAGAGTGATTTTTTTAAAAAAAGTAGTGTGAGCCGTCCATTCCCAGCATAATCACCTCTGTCTTCCCATTCTGACTCACCAAGCTGTCCATTGTCAGGTACCTTGCCCACCTCTTCTCACTTTTCACACAGCAGTCCATCCTGCTCTCTCTGTGCCAGCCCCACTGATCTATTATTTTCTGTTTACCAGCTTTCTTCTTACAGAGGGCTTGCTCACACTTTGTTCTTTGCCAACTGTCATTCTTCTGACTCCAGCCTTAGTCTCCACCTTTTTAATTTTTTTAAAATTTATTTATTGAGACAGGATCTTGTTATGCAGTTCAGGCTGGCCTTGAGCTCACTTCGTATCCCAGTCTAGTTGGTTCCTCACTGCTACCAGTTTACATGAAACTGTAACTTCATTTCTATTTTGGTGAATTTTTGTTTCTCCCAGTAGACCATTAGCTTCATAAGGCTGGGATCTTGGTTTGCTTTGTTTCACAGGTTTGTTGTTTTTTTTTTTTTTTAATTTCTTCAGTATGTATTTGCTCAGTGGATGAAAATCATAGGTGCTAGAACTTAAACTAGATGTGTCTTAATGATTACCTAAGCCACAAATGGTGAAATGTCACAATTTGATGTTTGAAATCAGTTTAAAAAGAATTTATGGGGGACCTGCCCCTTAGCTCAGTTCTTTAAGTGGCTGCTTCAACAAAGCAGTCAGGCTCAGGTTGCTGTGGTTCGATCCCCACAACTCAAGCCAGCCAAACCTGCCCTGAAGGCATTCAGAGCAAAAAATTTATGGGTCCGGGGATATAGCTCAGTAGAATGTACCAGGGTCCTGAGTTCAATCCCAGGTACCACACACACACACACACACACACACACACACAAAAGTTATTTTAAAACATGTTTTATACTGATGTGTTTAATACTATGATTCCACTTATTTGAAATTCCAGAAAAGGTAAAACTAATTATGGTGGAAAAAAATCATAATGAACTGGAAGTGCAGCTAAATGGTACTGCATGTCCTTAGGATGCAGGATTCCCTGAGTGCAATCTCTAGCACCATGCCGATACACACAGAAAGTAGAAATCATAAACTGCTCAGTATCCCCAACACTACACAGTACGCTGTTCAATGTAGTTTGAATGATGAAAAATAAGCCTTTAGAGCCTGGGAGATGGCTTAGTGGAATAAGCACTACCCTGGCAAGCACAAGGGCCTGCGTTCAATCCCCGGTTCCACAAAAAAAAATAAATAAAAATAAAGCCTGTTGTTAACTCTATTGATATGAACTATATTTATAGTTATATGAAGTATTTATACATTACATATTTTCTGGGAACCAGAAGCTTCCATAGTAATATAAATGGCTGTGCTATCATCTAAAATTTTTAATTTATATTTTTAGGCTTGGGATGTAGGTTAGTGTAGAGGACTTGCCTAGCATGTACTAGGTTTGATCCCCAGTATTGCAAAATACATAGCTTAATATACTTATATATCTGTATAGTTTATACCAATTCAGCACTGCTACACTAAGTATCTGTGATACATTATTTTAATTGAATAGGAGAAAAGCTTGTATCATTAACTCCGAGCCTCTAGTGCTATTCCTGGGCCTCCAGTGCTATTTCTGACTTATGCCTTTCTTTCACCAGACCATCAATTTATTTGATGAAAGAGCTTAAACTTTAACATTTCACTGAGATAGCTAATTCCAATTGGAGAAAAGGCTGGCTCTAATCTTTCACAAGTGCTTGAGCACTTGCGTAAGTGAAATCTTCCTGTGTGAAGAATCCCATACTAACACCACCTCTGCTCCAGCTCCTGTCACTCTGCGCTTACATTCTGAAACCTATGAGAAGATAGAGCAAGCACAGCACAGCGGGCTTCAGCACCCACCTCAGAGGCAGTTTTCTTTGCAGTGGTTCAAATAGCAAGTTGAAATTTCCTATGGTCTGATACCCCACACCAGAGATTTGGATGACTGTCTAGGAGGGGAATCACTCTAAACCTTGTAAGAGTTGATCCTAGAATACTGTGCCCTTAACTGCCAAGTGTCTTCAAGCCAGCCACTTGAGTCCATTGCTCATAAAAAGAAAAAGTAGCAGAAACATTTTCCAGAGGCCAAAGCAAGCCCAGACACAGAGGAGGCGCTCACCTGTGAAGTCAAACCCACTGGTGCTTATCCAACTCAACCCTAGGTAGCTAGCCTTCAAGCTTTCTTAGAGAACAAGGTACTTGGTTACATTCTAGGATGATTGTGTGCTAATACAGAAGCCATAAACCAGTAGCCACGTGTGTTTACACTTAGTTTCAGTTTCTCATTTTTTTTTTTTTTTTTTTTTTGGTGGCACTGGGAATTGAACTCAGGCCCTTGCGCTTGGCAGACAAGCACTTACTCTGCTGAGCCATCTCCCCGGCAGGTTTCTCATTCTCATTTCAAGTGCTTGATAACAGCGCATGTGGCTAGCAGCTATCAGCTAGGACAGACCCAGAGAAAGAGTGCTTTTATCAGAAAGAATGGCTTTAGACTGACTACTTTTACCTTTACTATATCCATTGCTTGCAAGGCTCTGACCTCCATTTCAGGAAAGAACAATTGTGAAACAGCATGTCTCTTGTCACTTGGGCACATTCACAGAGACTAAATTTGCTACAGTTGTAAATAATAAGCTTTGTGACTCTAGAGTTTAAGCATCATTTCTGCATATGATACTAGACATTAATACCATTAACCCAAACAACAGATTTTGGAATTGTAACACTAAAATAGCCTGAAGATAACTTATGTGTTTTTTGTTTGTTTGTTTTGTTTTGGCAGAACCAGGAATTGAACTCAGGCTCTTGCACTTGCTAGGCAAGTGCTTATTCTACTGAGCCATCTCCCCAGCCCCTGTGGCACTAAAATGAGACAGCAATAACATACTAACTTCTACTCCAGCCCCTAAAATAAGTCTTCCCTACCCTTTTTTTTTTTTTTTTTTTTTGGTACTAGGTATTGAACTCAGGACCCTGTACTTGTCAGGCAGGCACTTGTGTCCCTGAGCTATATCCCCAGTCCAAAAGTCCATTTCTTGACTTTTTGAATTATCTATTTTATTTAATTTATTTATTTATTTATTTAGTATTTTGGGACGGGTCTACAGGGTGTTCAGGGTCTCACTACTATATCAGACTCCTAGTCAGCCTCCCAAGAGCTAGGATTACAAGCATGCACCACCCATCACACCAAGTCTCAATTGCCTCCTCAGCGCACCCTGGGGATAGGGCTGGCACTGCAGGCCTGGGGATCAAACCCCCAGCCCCTGCACCTGCTTGCAGGTGCTTTAATCCACTGAGCTATTTGACCAGCCCCCATAAAATACCTATTTATTTATTTATTTACTTATTTTGGTGGAACTGGGGATTGAATTTAGGCCCTTGCCCTTGCCAGGGAAGCTCTTATTCTACTGAGCCATCTCCCCTGCCCCAAAATACCTATTTTAAAGTAAGATAAAATTTGGTTCAACTAGAATTAGTAACTTTACTTAAACTATTCATTTTTTGGAAATTAGTAACTTCTATATTAGTGCTAATGATGACTATGAAATTGTAAATTGTACTTGCCAAAAGGGTTTAACCCCTTTAAAGCCCCAATCTTCTCATCTGTACACCAGAAATAATAACAATATCTACTGAAGCATTGTAATGCTAATTGAATGCATCATATATACAAAGCACATAAGCATTCAACAAGTTACAGCTCCTGAAATTGCTATTTCCTAGGTATAAGCACCAATGTGCAAGAATAAAAAAGATAAGTAAATGTGAAAATCCTAAATTTAAAAATCCTAATTCTGCCAC